GGGTTGTTATTTCCAAAGAAATCAGTAAGGAATAAAAACCACCGCTCAGGTGAGGATCTCTGGCACAGGAATTTCATGGGGATTTCCCACCTTCACGCCATTTCACGCCATAGCCTGTGAAGGCCAGCTGTGCTGTTCCAAGGCTCTGTGGCTGCGAGTCCCTTCCCTTCGCGACCTTTGACGTTGAGGGAGCTCTTCAGCGGCTTGGCCTGTGTATTTCCCTGTCAGTGGAGGGGACGTGGCTTGGGTCTGCTGCTTCGTCTGAGGTCGATACCTTGACGTCACAGCGGTTCCTAGCCGGTACTTCTTCCACGTGCGGCCTGGCAGAGATGATGGCATGTAAGGATTTCAGGATCTGGTGATGCAGTAGTTTCATCTCTGTTCGAATACATGTTGGCCAGCAGCTGGTTTGTGCTGTTCTCATGAGTGTCGCTGACGCGGGTGGTTGAGCTGCTTCAGGCTCCCGTGTCGTGGCTTCATCACACCAAGAGGGCCCAAGAAGAGAACCTACTTGGCGGAAGTAAAGCACTTCGCGGAAGCATTTAGGGATGCTTTGGGCCCAAGACAGACGTGGAAGGGGTTCGTGGAAGGGTGTTTTAACATCGGAAAGACTAAGATAGAAGTAACACACTGCCCATTTGGCTCTTTCGCTCATGCCGCTGGAAGATGGGATTAGAGATCCGGCACTTGTCTGTGTCTGGGCCGTTGACAGCAGCGTCACACGCAGAACGGCAGTGTGGGAATACCAGGTGCGGGGTGGGAGGCCTTTGTGGTGCAGGGAGCAGAGCCTCGCCAGGCTTGTCAGTTGAGCAGGTCAGACCTGCTTGTTCAGAATGCTTTTGGTGCTATGGCCAGAGGAGTTCAGGGCCCCGGCATCAGGTTTCCAGGGGACAGCCCGAGGCTCGCAGCTTTGAAGTTGCTGATTGATTTCTTTTGCAGGGATGAGTGGACACGGTCATGACAGTTGACTACCAATTTGAAGGCGCAGAATCATCCTGAGGCTGTCACTCCACACGGAAGATGAGCTCCACAAAAAGAAGCTTGGATTCTTGGTGGCAGGGATCTATTTGGCCTTGGCTTGTTTCAGGGCATGTTGGCTGAGGCAATTCCGTAGTCACACCGGGTTTACCAGGTTTGGTCACAATGGAATTTCGTGATGACTAATTACTTTGGCCCTCCCTTCGACTGGCCAGGTGAATTTGCATCTCGGTCACTGGAGGCAAAGGATGCCCTTTACGAGCCTGGCTCTCAGCCAGTCAGTGTACGAGCAGCCTCAGAACCTGGCATGCTGGCATGTTTCATGCTGCTGGTGCAGTCTCATGGAAAATGGTTGCAAGACATAGACTTTGCTGCATGTCGTACGCTGCAATGAGATGCAATGCCGGTAATACATGTCGCAGGTCGGCGGAATAAATGTAGGACAAGAAAGGATCGGCCCCGGAGCCTTTGTACGCAACCATTGTGCCCGGTTCCATCCTAAATGATTTCAAATCTGGATTGCGCTATGGCCCTTGCGCTATGACTGTCAGGAAGTGCTGGCTTGCTTCGAGCCAAGGGGGAGGGAAAAAGAAAGGCCGCCTTCCTTTCACGAGTGGGGTGACTTCTGTCACGCCTTGAGAAGTCAAATGGCTGTGAGTCAACAACACTGGGTTTGTAACAGGCATGGGCGGCCATTCCGCGACATAGGTTTGCAACAGAATGTCCTGGCTTGCGACAAGGTTCTTTTGTAGGGCATACCAGCGCCAAGAATTCGCGACAAAGGTATGTAAGAACAGGCCGCGACAGTAGGTAACGGGGTGGGAGGGGGGGGGGGGCGCGACAAAACGGGGTTTTGATGCACAGCCAAACAGGGTCATGGCCAGACTCGTCGCTTTGCTTCCTCGAAAAGCACCTGCTCGGTGGAATTCCTCATTCCATAGTGACGGTGCCTCTGAGGTACTGCAAGCGTGAGCGCCGGTCCGCGGCAGAGGCTTGGATTTGCGGAGGGTGCATGGTGTGAAGCGCTTTTTGATTCCGATTGCTCCAGACGTCGTCCTGGCAGGGGTGCCAGATCAATTTCGTAACATCATAGCGACGGCAAGAGGAGCCCAGAGATCAAGAGACGCTTCGGGTATGGCACATTTAGTCCATCGGCAGGTCATGTGGGATTTCTGGACCGCCCGCCCGCCGCTAGCGGCCCTCGTCAGTGCTTTGCCCCTCCTTCGGCCCAGGCTATTCAAATTTCATTTCGGGCTTTCAGAGAGGGCTTCCGGAGCTCCTCAAGTGTAGTGGGCAAACAGTCTACTGCGACTGATGTTAACTGGTAGTGCACGATCCGATGTAATCCAACTACTCCAGCCGGATGGATCGGTCTATTCGTCTTACTCTAGGCCGCAGCAAGTTCGTACGGCGTGCCGGCACAAAGGTGCATGGGCTTCCGCAAACTTGAGATCATGTGAGAGTCGGCAGGCGCTACTCCATAGCATCGTCTCCGAGGCCAGAGGAAGTGCAATCCGGTTGTTCGTAGACATGCAGGGACCTGGCTGAGACTAGATTCGCTGGATACGCATCTAAACCTGCACTGCTTCGTGAGATGGATCCGACCATTGCCGCCCATATCTTGGTCGGTTGGACGCCTCGGGGCATGGCCATGGATGGGACACCTCCGTGCGAGAGAGGCCTGGAGTGGGACTGCGGGAGCCGATTTTTCTGGATAAGCATGGCAGTCCGGCTTAATGTCTATTGGCGACAGTCTGAAAGCGGGTGCCTTCCCAGAAATGGCTGGTGCTTGGCAGAAGTTCTGAATGGTGCCGAGCTTCGGCTGTCAGACAAGTCGCGAGGGCTGAAAGTTTGTTGCAGTTCACCAGCTGATTCACAAGTTGCATGAGGGACCAGTGACTCCAGTGTGAAGCTTGCAGGATGGTCTGGGATCCACTGCCATTGGACGCGTGCTGGAATCTGCAATGGCTGCCAAGTCAGCCCCTCTTGAACTTGTGTCCTGGCTCAAGATTAGGGCTCGGCAGAGTCACCAGGTTCCAGAAGAAAGCACCCTAGCAAGTCCTAGTAACGACCCTAAAGTGGCTGTTTTTTTTTCAGTTGGGCTGGGATTGTCTGAGCGATTATTAATGCTAAATGCCAAGCTCTGGTGTAACCTAGAGGCAAGGGAACTGGAGTCTTCGAGAGCCGCCTCTTGCTCTTAGATTGCACTAGAAACAGTGGAAGGTTGGGAGCTATGCTTGTGCACAATCAACCATCAAGCCGCACTTTGCTGCTGCGCTCTGGCGGTCCAAAGGGTCTGTGGGTAAATGTAACTAGAGGTGACACCAAGCTTAGACTCAGTCAGTTCTCAGTCTTCGCTATGAAGCGACCCTCATGAGGATCCACCGAATTAATTACCTTTGTGGCGCTAGCATTGCACTAGCTTGGCCATCTATGCTGCAGGCAATCTTACAAGATGTAACCGTGCGGATGAGCCCAGTGCTTCTTCGGGACACAATGTGACGCTCGGGTGAGTAGAATTTTAAGTCCTGTCCTGGCGGCAGGTTGGGTGCTTCAGAACGCCAAATCCGAATCCTGTGCGCACTCCGATAGTTATGCTTTGGACATGCTGCAGCACGCTGGAGAGTGTTTCAGTATTCAGGACCTCTGCGTTGGCATAGTGAACTCTGTCACGCGCAGCAATCGAGAAGTTCAGGGTCTGTGTGCCGCAGCTGCAACAAGCAAGGATCCATGATCACCGGTTTTCTTTATTCTCGCTAGTCCTTGCGCCTTGTGCCTCAGCTCTCGTTACCGTGATTGCAGCGCGATGCGCATGTTGAACCTGATTCTGCTGGAATGCTGATCCATGGCACGGCTCAGGCAGCAACTTCTTGAAGGATGCCGCAGTGGGTTCACGACGCTATGAGTTGTACTTAAAGGGAGCTCCATGGAGCGCCGTTTTGGCCAGAAGGTTTTGCGAAATATGATTGTTGGGCAAAGCGGGCTGGTACGTGAAGCCACATAAGTTTATTCGACGCGAGGGGTTCCACCCAGCTTGAGTATTACGGGGTTGGTAAGCCTACGAAGTTTTTCTTCGCCGTGATGTGCAGTGGGCTCTACAACAAAGCTCGTACTTTTACATAGAAGTCAATGTTGACTCAGGACTCCAGTGCAGTCTTGAGGAGGGCAGCCTGAAGCTTCCACCACCGGAGGCCCCGAGCATGCTCGAGCTAGCTTGCTTCTTGTTACCAGCCGTCCGAGAAGTGGCGGTAGCTTGATGTGCAACCTCTTGATTTTGAACTGCAACCACGAAGCTGCAGCCAGTTGTGTCTGCATGAGTGTATCCAAGAACGCTTGTGATGCATCCAAAGCATGAAAATACGTTCTACAAGCGTCTCCTGATTGACAGGTACCCTTGTTGATGGTTTGTCCGGGCACTGGACTCTCGCCTTGCCGAGCTCTTGTACAGCAGAGGCAGCAGCACCCGTGTCCCTGGAATGTTCTGGGTTGAGCTTTTGGTCGATGGCGTGAGGCAATGGCTGTTACTTCAAATGGATTGTTCTCTTTACGTCTGGTCTGGAAAAGAGGGCGGGCAGTGGGCCGGTCCATTCCCAGACCCTTCGTTGCATGCTTGTCAACATTGCACTATGAATTTGTTTCATACCAGGTTCCATATTTATTCCAGACACGGCCAGACTCATATATGTTCCAGACCCAGTGGATGAAGGCGGCCTTGTTCCAGAAGGTCTAGATTGAATTTGATGATGCGAGATCCTGCCTCTCAATAAACTCCATCTTTGTCTGCAGGGAGGATCAAGCCATCAAGGGCTACACGGTAGCGCCACCCAAAATTTTGTCTGTCAGGCACCTCCAGCTCCTAGATTCTGCAGCGTCTCCCCGCAAGGATCTTCATCGTCAAAAGGACTGCCTTCCTGATCCTTGATATCCAGAAAAGACAGGTGACGGACATACCAGGTCCTGTGATGATTTAATAGCTGATTGTGCAGAGGCGAGCAACTCGTATAGAGCTGGATACGGCGGCTAGGTGCTTCAATGCAGCCAGCTTGCTAGTTGTTCCCAAAGCCGACAATCTGGCAAGAGGATCTGCTGTTCCTTGGCTTTCGGCATCAAGATGGAGACTACTTGTATGGAGATGAGTGGTCAACATTCAACAGCTGGCTCTCGGTGCACGTGGCCTTCTCTAGAGATCATGAAGATCGGAAGGCCTGCGCGGCTGCAGACAGATGCTGCTCACGACTTTAGCATTGAAGATGAGCTTCGCTTGTCCCAGATTCGTGTCATCCGGCACCCGCTGGCCTGTTTGATAAGACGTTGACTTTCACAATGCCAAGCGTTGTAGTTGCGCGCGTCAGTAGGCATTTTGGAGCCTGGGAGGTTTATGTGCAAGATATCATCGAAGAGAATGGCGAGCAGGTCGTTCGCCTTCTAGCCACCGGATTCGGCATTAGCAGAATTGTGGTGTTCGCGCATGAGGCACCTGAAGACCTGAACGGAATTGCTCGATGCGGTTCTTCCCTGTTAAAGCTGACAAATCACCTGTTCTTTTGTGGGTGACATTCTGAATAAGCAGCCACACGCAGCCACATCTTGAGGATGCTGGAGCCATGATCTTCGTTTGTGGACGTTCTCACCCGATGCCCTCACAGGCCGCTCGTTGAGCTAGCCCTTAGGTAGAAGAGAATGTTTTGCCGCGTCACGAAGCATGCGCCTAGCAAGCCAAACAAACAGAAGTTTGATGACCGAATATTAGCTACTCATCAGCTACTTTTACGCTCGGAGACGCTTTTGTCATAACCTATGCAACTGTCAGTTTTTAGGTCTTCGACGCCTTCGTGGAGGTTCTGCAGAAGCATGCAGGCCGTTGGTTTTCCTGTCAGCAGGTAGCTTCCCTTCTTGACCGGCTGGAACGTTTTTTCCTGGAGCAAAACTCGTGCATGGGCTTTGTAGAGATTGTTTCCTGTAAAGCGACTCCAGAAGTGGGTAGACGTGTGCAGGTCTCAGCGTGGAGGCTGCAAGTCAGCGGCTGCGCCTACTGCAACGCAGCCTGGGCTTTTCATTGACTGCCCCAGGGGCCCGTGGGGCCTAGGGCTGGGACTGAGGATGCATACTGGGAGCGTACCGCGTGCATACAGGCATTGCATTGTAGTCGCATAGCCCGAATTCTGGGTCTTGGGGTCTTGAAGGTGTTTGGCCATGGTTTTGCTCAAGGGTTGTCTATCTACAAGTAGCACTGTGAGAGCATTTCACATTCATCACCTTGCCGTCCTTTCTGCCAATCTGCCGTCTGTGAACGTGAGCATGTGTGCAATCACGTGGCTCTGAGGCAAGCAGCGCTACATCTGCGATACATGGGGCTAGAGATCCAAAGGCAATGAGCCGAACGTGATAATGCTTTGGCCAGCGAATATGGCAGGCGCAAGCATATTGCTCCAAGGGCTGCCAGCTAGCGCTGGCCTTGTGTCATGTGTACATACTTAATGGAAGCAGTAAGTAGCTGCCTCCGGTTATTTATTCATGCGGGCTGCACAGGAGTTGTCTTGTATTGGTTGGCAGAGTCTGAGATGACGTTTGAGCAATGTAAATTGGGCGACAGCTTTGAGCTGGAGACTCCAGTGCAGCCTAGACCAGGCCAGAGCCCCAGAAAACTCATTGTTGCTCACTTGCCTGCTTGCTGGCTTGCTGGCTCTCGCGAGATCTCGTTAAAGCAGGGGGACGGAGGCCAAAGAGGAGCAGACCCCTTGTGTCCTCAGGTGTCCACGAACATTGCCGCGCACTCACTGTATTGGCAAGCCTCACAGAGTGGCTTGCGAAAGGGCTGGTGCAAAGAGATGGTCAGGCGGAGACATCCATCACCATCGACGACGTCACGCACGTCATCGACTCATGCCACGTCAAGGAGACGCGGTTCTCGCCACAGAGCTCCACAAGTGTGTTTCTGGGCGTGCACTTCACAAGATCTAGATTGTAGCCTTCATTCAGACATTGATGGTTTGTACACGGCTCTCAGGTTCTCCACCGTGTGGGTGTCGCAGGCTGCAGCCAAACAGCGAACGGGACGCGCGGGGCGCACTCGTCCAGGCCCGGCATATGACATGCACTCCTGATCGTTTATCAGACAGCCGTGCTCAATGTGACATGGGATGCTCGCATTCTGGATCTTCCAAGTCTTGTCGAGGCATCTGCTGGCGTCTGTGCTCAGAAAGCTTCTTTGAGAAGGAGCTGCCGAAGCATACGCTGCTGGGATGACCGGGTGCTTGTTGTTGCTTTTTAGCCCGAATCTTGTAGTCAGTTCTTACACATGGGTAGACACGTCTCCAACCAGCAGCGTCGTTTAGCAAAAGCAGTTGGCAGGTTGTTTCCCAAGTGTAAAGCCTCCGTGGAAAGCCTTCCAAGGCTCTGCGAGATGCAGCGCACAGCGCTGGAGGAGATCCGAATCCTGGTAATGCCGTGAAGCTAGTCTTCGGGCCATTCGGGTTATGTTCACACGTTAAACGCTCAGAGATCCTGCTAAGTACTCCCCTTCTCCAACTGTAGCAACAAAATACACCACTAAAAGCAATGAATGAACTGTTTGAACACATAAACCCCTAACATCAGCACCCCTGGCTTCTTGATGTCAGATACTCCCTGCGCCTCTTTTGATACTGCATCCGATCCATACCTGCCCAGTTGTCTTACTAGAAGAGGGGAGCCTTTCGGGCAATCTTTCTAGCAATGCCCGAAAAGTCCTCTTTCATGCTGGTACCGCTTCGTCTCTTGCTTTGCCAGCAGGGCCAATGAACGGCCCAAGATCACCTGCGCACAAGTATTCGCAACCTTCTTCCGGCTTCAAAATCCCCCTGCTTGCATGACCGCGCATTTCTCGTAACGCACGTGGGAGGTTTGTAGCTTTGCTGATCTCTTCGTTGAAGCCGTTGCCTTAGAACTACGGAAAGTGAGGGCCTGCTCTGCCTTGGGAAGCGCAGGATGACGAGCGGGCAGATGTTTTTTGCTTCATGCGAAGTCCTGGGCTAGGTGCGCTCCCAAATCATTAGCTCCTCGATAGAAAAGACAATGAACTCTCCCGCATGCTACTTTGTGTGTGGCGTAAGGGGAGCAGTTTCACGTGATAACATCAAGACCACGGAGGCAATGGCACACCGGCCCCACGCCATAGCAGTCAATACTCTTCTAGAATTACTCTTTGCCAAAGAGGCCCCTGCACCCACCCCCTTGTAACAACCCCCCAGCATCCCCAGCTCTTTGCCTTGGAGCAGGAGTTGGTCTTGCAGTTGCGTCTTCTGGATTTGGGCGAACATCCGGGCGACTTCCTTCGCCTGGCGCCCGAACCCCCAGCGCTGGAGGCTCGTCTGCTGAGCATGGAAACACCGCGGTTTTCTCAAAGCGCTCACTGCACCACATGAAGATGAGACACCGCCCAGAAACGTCCTAATTACTTGGTGAAACAATCGCAATTCAATCAGACATGGCTGCTCAACCATGCCAGCATTGGAACCTTCGGAAAGGACTGCAGTTTCATGGCAGATTCACATGAGGCGCTCAAGCACTTGAACGAGTTGAACTTTCGATTGCCAATTAAGCACGAAGGGAGGTACACGTACCAGACGTGGCTACAGAAATCACGGAACCCATTGATTGCCCAAGCTCAAAAGAAGTGGCTTGACTTGGTGTTTAAATTGTCAGCACAGAGCGGCCCATGCACGAGGAAAGACAGAAACTGCCTTAAATTCGGAGGCGGTTGAACGCGCCATCCGTGCACTGGCCGCTGATTTGCAACACGGGGCCAGCATTCGTTTGGGATTACCCTAGGAACCGGGGTCCTGCACTACAGAAAGATTGACCCAACTGCCCTGGCAAGCTAGCATAAGCTCTAGGAAGTGGTGGCTGCAACCTTCTTACAGGACTAGGACTTCAGCATAGGGGCAATACGGCTACGTTGGTTCCGGGCCAGTTCGCCTTACTGAAGTGAGCCGGGATCGCTTGGGGGCCCCATGCTTTTCAGGTGGCAATAGGTGCCTTGGAGAGCAATTCGAAGCTGGGCCTCACACCTTTGGGCTTCCATTTGGCTCATATGCCTGTGGACGCGAGAATCGGCTGCTTGCCTGCACTGGGCTGACAACATGAGAAACGAAGAGCCTCTACCGAGAGCCTCTGATGGATTCTTGTGAAAGTCCCCTGCTCCAAGGGAAGATGCTGGTGTACGGGTCTCTTTGCCAGTGCCTGGCGCCCATCCTTACCATAGCTGCTTGCCTGTCGCAGAGCCTCAGCTGCATGAACCGATTTGAAAAGAAGCAAGAGTTCAAGACATTTGTCTTTTCTGAGGGTTGGAGAAGATTCTGCATCGTATCATGACGCAAAGCTGATGTTGCGCGTTTGGGTGCAGGCACTGCCGCCTCTGGAGAGTTTGTTCCGTTGTTGAGATAATTTCCTGGTTGAGATCTGGGAAGTGATGGGGGAAACTCCTTCCCTCATATTGGGCGTTGCTGAGGAAGTCTCCCTTCGTACGCAGCTTCAACCGAACAAAGGAGGCAGGAAGCTCATGCTGAAGCACTGCTGAAGCGTCAGACCCCGCCATGGAGCCAGAGCAGAAGTTGCAGTCACTATGTCACATCTAGCGCGCATGCAGGATCTCCAGGTCACTGAGCGCCAGGGAGCCTGGGGCTACCTCAGCTTCTTGGCGAGTTGATTCAGACATGAGACCAAAAGGCAGGGATTAAACGAGACATTTTGTGGTGCCAGTGCAGCAGTCCCTAGCTGCAGTTCTAGCGTTTTCCGTGAAAAAATGGTAGAGCTGACTAGCCTTGTGGGCTGCAACCCATCTCCAAAACAAGTTATGTGGCCTCCTCCAGTTGAGACAGTCTTACGTAGATCTTTCCTGAGGCAGCGATCAGCTTGCCATCGTGAAAGCCTTTGACAAGCAGCTCGGTGGGACACCAGTAAGACTTGGGAAGCGTTCATCCCTATTCAGAAGACTTTCTCTGGGCTAACGTAATCTGCTAGCCATTACAATGGGTTGCTGCCTCAGCCCAGTGAGACTTGCGCACCTGAGGTCTGCACCACATCCATGCTCTAACCCCAGAATCCTTACAAGCCGAAGATCTGCCCATGCATGTGTAGCTCCTGTATCCACACACGAGTATAGAAGCAGATTCCTTTCTATGAGAACATATACGTAGCTCCTATGCATGTAGATATGTAGTTCCCCTGAATCCTCAGTTCCCAGAAGCCTCAGCCCAGCCTAGTGTTACTTGCCAGGTACCAGGAGCAGAGGCAGGTGAGCCGTGACGCAGCTTGGGAGGCGGCGTGGCAAGTTTGCAAAGGCCTTTTCATCAGTGGTTTTATGCTGTAGAGGCTTGGATTGGGGGTGAAAGATCATGTACTGAACCCAACCCCATGGTCTAAGCCACAATGACAACGACCCACAACATGGGCTACCACACGCGGGGGCGGGGGGTCCGAAAACCAGGTTTGCGACCGCTTTGGGCTGGCAGCCTCGACGCTAGATGACCTGGTCTGGGGCCTGGTCCTTTTTGAGAGCTTTTAGGTAAGCAAGCGGCATATAATTTTCTAAAATTATTCGTTTTATCTGGGTCTTTGCTGCACTTGTGTTAGACACAATTGGCGGACCCCCTTGCAGAAAAAACAAGCTTGGATTTTGTTGGGTCGCGCTCTGCAAGCGTCATTCTCCTGGTTGATGGAACAGACTCCTGTATCATGGGGAGACTGTTCCACTTGGGTCAGGGGCCCATGTTCCTTAGGTTCCTAGGAGCAAGTCCAAATCAGCTGCCAAGGCCCAGCTTCGAAGGCCGGGACAGGGTCATCCAGCGTAGCCGCAGATGGATGCTTCCCCACATAGTAGACTGAGACTACGCAAACGTCAATGTTAACCCCCTGTGTGCAACGGGTACTTCGCTAAATGGAGTTTAGGATGGCAGCATCATGCCTAATAGATGAGCTGCAGGCAGCATTGCCAGAGGCAGCTTCCACATACCTTGCGCATGAACTTCTGTCTTTTGGGCCGGAGTGCTGTGCCAACACTGGGATTGATGCAGCGATGTTCTTGGCAGGCAGTTTCTGCGGCATCTCACTGAGACGGGTTTTGCGATGGAAGAGACTGAGGATGGAGGAGAGCAGGTCCCTGGGCAGGATCACGGCTGAGATCCTTGTTGTGCATGCTTTTAGATGGCTCTTTGCTTGAGTCCACACCCCTTGGCCTGCTTTTCGAAAGCACTCTCCATCAGGTAAATATACACAAGAAGAACATGTCCCTGGTGTGACTTGGCAAAAGACTATCAATCTTACGCGCTCGTCGGCAAGCCACTCCAGATTCGTCATTGGTTGTGGTCATGAGTCAAGGGCAGGCCTTCGGCCTTTAGCAAATCTGAATCTATCTGAATCGATTATCCCCATATTAACCCCTGTGAATGGATCCTGCTTGGATTGCATATTGCATGTGATTTTACCTGTTCGAGGACTTATTAGGCACCCGCAAAATAGGACCATATCAAATAGCTCCGAGAGCTGGCGCTGATAGCTGTGTGGAGCCCTGCAGCCTGCAGCTTCAGGCGTTGTGTGCTGTGCGCGGGCCTGTTCCCGAACGTCGCGCAAGTACAGATTCCTGGACAGATACTGGCGTGCCGGGTGAAGCGTGTTCCAGCTGTACGCGGGGGGTGTGGCTTTGAGTTGCTGAAGCCTGCTTTGCTGAGGAAGCAAACTAACGCGCGAGGGACGTCGCTGCTCGGCTTGACCTGTTACAGTTCAGGCAAGCTTTGCATGAGAGTGGGGATGGCATAGCCCTGAGCAATGGCTAGGGCGATCACATAGTCCGGCGTGCCCTCGGCAAGCAAATGAGGTACCAGATATTCGTCAGCCGCCAAAACGAGCGCTGCACACCGCATCCGTCGAGTCTGAACTTCAAGGCTCAGGACACTCGCCTGTGTGGGCCCAACGCTTTATTCTGAAGCCCTGTTTGTTGTGACATTTCTAGGGAGCAGGACTTAGCACGTTAGCTTCAGAAATTTTCAGAAGTGGACAGGACTTTGCGGCCAATCATGGCTGGCTCTTGTTTCACGACAAGGTCAAGACGACACAGATCTACCTCCATGACACAACGCTGGTAGGCGCACCTGTTTGATCTTATTAAAGCAGTACTGAAGGCCTCTCAAAGCCGAGCCACACCTGATCAACTAGGGTGCGGCATGAAATGCAAGCTGGGAGCTGATGGCCTGCTCTGGATAGCCGCATGGGACTTGCACAGCAAGAGAATAGCAAGTCCGCAGCACAGGTGGGGTTTAAGATTCCTGTATTAAACTTTGAGGGGTTGTACCTTGGCACAGAGCGGGCTACCAAAGCACCTTCTACTAACCAAAGGATCTAGCCGAAGAGGTGCCCTGTGTGTCATCCAGTTCTTGAGTTGCAGGCGCAATACCACTCCTGCTGTTTGGCGGTGAGTTGAAGATTTCCTCCAAGGAAGCTTTGAATGGGGTTCCGCAGCTGCTGCTCGCGCACACGGTCCAGCGAAAGACGTGTGCAAGGGAGGGGCAGGGCTTTTGCCAAACGTTCTGCGTGACCTTGGCCTTGAAGCCACATGAGCTCACATGGCGATCTCAAGCTACTCTGATGCCCAACCCCTTTGTGAGGAGAGGAAGTGCGTCACGGTGGATGGCATGACTTTCGAGGCGAAGGACCCCGGCCGCGGGTTGGTCCGCAAACATTTGCATGATTAATCAAACTGCTACTGCTGGGAGCAAGAACCTTAAGAAATATACGGGAGGCTCTTGGGGGCACCCGCTACAGAGGCTCCAAAAGGGCTCGAGCGGCGTAAGTTTGGCGCTATGATGACGAGTGCAAGCATGGAAGCAGCAAGTGACATGATTCAGCACATGGCCACGCGAACGGCAGCGCAACAGCAACGGAGGACAAAAACGACAGATTGGCATAATGTTACCGTTGGCCTGCCGGCCACATGCTGGGACTGGCTTGTCAAGCATGGATCACCACAGTTTTGCTTTTGGCATGATTGTGCCCTGCATTCCTATGGGTGGAGGTTGGGAACTCAGGTTGACGATTTTTCTGATTGCAATAATATGTCAAACGCGGCAGGTATGCGCATGATGGCATCCAGTTTCTCGGAGCTGTGTTCCAATTGAGAAGCGGCTCTTTTACGCGCATCTAGTGTTTAGATTCGTATTCCATCAGCGATTGACTTCTCTGCCCGCGACCGCGTTCGACGAGCTTCTTGTGTGACGTGTGCCAAGATTCTGTTAAGCACAGATTTGCGAATTCCAAAGCATCTTTCGAAAATTGTTCGTTGCTCTTCCTGTACCATGCGAGAAGTAGATGCACTAATATCAGATTTTGGTCCGTGCTACTCGCAGCTGCTGCGGAACACTAAGCTATAAGCTTTGGCTGACATGTGCTACGTGGGGCAACTTTATGTCAGCTCGTTTGATGGAACAATGACATATTGAGGCGCACATCCTCTGCGGCCATTCCAATCATGAAAACTCTTGATGAAGCAGCTATATTCCAAAAGCATTTTCACAGCCTTTCAGTGGTGGATCGGGCTTGGAATTCTGTGGTGAATGGAGTAGTTAGAGAGAATGGATGACATGAAATGCAATCAGGTGGCCCTCAAAACGTTTCTGAATCTTGGAGCGACGAGGCTCATTTTATCACCATGTGAACGGTTAAATCTGAGGAGGTATGCCCAAGACGTTTGCTCTCTGCCCAGGGCCTAAGAAAGCCTGTTTGTACATGGGGACAAGCTGATTGTATGCCCACATGCATCTCTGCACGTACGGCATATTCCTATAACCACGATGTCCCAGAGCCGATGCTCTGAGACCTCAAGCCGACCCCCTCGCCTAGACCGCACCATGCCGCACCGAAACAGCCTGACCCGGCAATACAAAAAACGTACGCTCAGTATACCCAACAGGAAAATGCAGGAAAGATTTGTCGGTCCGTTTGGCAAATCAGCCTCGCAGCAATTTGCCTTTGCTCGTGCACCCTGACGGAGCCGAAGCATGCTGCCATCTGTATCGCAGGATGAGAAGTCCGCTGTCCTGTTCAAGGAGCTGCGCCGTGAGTTGGATCGGCTGCTGCAGCTGGACCTCAAGCGCAGTATGATGATTTGATACATTCTTGAGGGTCCGAGGGCTTGTGGTTCACAAGGGGTTTTGTCTGTTGAGGTTAGCCTTGGAGGGTGGGAAAGAGAGACTGAGGCTCCTGAAGGTGGCCAACCCATCTGAAGACCTCGCCTCCTCGGCGGAGCCTTTGCTCCTGACCGCCCGGAGCCCTGAACATAACGCGGAACTTTGGAAGCTTGCCGTATAGAGAGTGTGATAAGGCTCAGGGTGTCTTGAATATGTGAGGTGGTGCATCCCATGAACTATATAAACATCTCAGACTTGCACTGTTATGTCAGAGGTGTATGAGGCATGTGCATAGGGAAGCCGCTCGCAGTTTGTCATCTTATTAGCCATGGCTTGCAGTATGTTTCAATCCTCTGGTAACATGGGGCTCCCAATCAGTGTCTGTATTGTGGTCTTGTGCCATTCAGAATCTTTCGGCAAATACAGTGGTGGCAAGGCTAGCGGCTAGCAACATGCTAGTAGCAGCAAGGGTCCCTCAGGTCACCAAGCTGCTCCAGTGGGAAGAGCGCGGTGCATCTGGAAAAACGGATTTCGGCGCGAGGTAGCCCTTTGAGCAGGATGGAGGTGCTGTTGTATAGTCACTGAATGGCAAGGATGTAGCCCAGCTACATGAAATCCTTAGAGGCCTTAGAGGCCAGCAAGAGGTATCATTTTGGATTTGAATGCGCAACATCTTTGGCCCAAGCATCTCTGGGAGGTGCTCACCTTATCCGTTTTCAGTCTCCTACTAACGATGCGAATGTTTCGCACATGGATTCTACTGATATCTTCCCTTCTGGAAGCTTTCGGAACCAAGCTGCTCAGCGAGCTGGGTGTTGAGGAGCATCCGGCCAGGGGCACTTCTGTTTTGCAGACGCAGAAGCAGTTAGCCACTTTGATTCATTGTCAGCTGACCGTAACGGTGGGCTGATTATTTTTCGTGTTGGCACATGTGTGTAGACAAGGTATGCAATACGTACGGTGCAGATTGGATTCATGCATTTTGTCATTTTGTATTTTTACCGTACATCCTGCGGTCCATGGCCTATAATTATCCATATGTAACAGCAACCATGTTCATGATGTCGACCATGGCAGGGGACTCCCTCATTGACTCATAGTCTGTGAGGTTGGAGAGAAAAATTTGATAAGCAGCTGATCTTACTGTGCTGCAGCTCCGTTCAGGACTATGAAGGGGTTCAGTTCAAATCTAAGTCGATATACTGCAGTCTTGCAACTCAACGCAATTTCCCTTAAATCACCGAGGCCGCCGCAGACCTGAAGACGTCCTGTAACGAGTCCGAGTTGGTCTGTGAGCAGCCTGATGCTGATCTTCAAGATCACATATTATGGCGTGGAGGTTTTTTGTTTTTTTTGGTTTAGGGCTGTAAGGTGTCGACAAGGTATGGTATCAGGATCTTGGTTTTGGGCTGCTGCAGGGTGTCTTTCAGGCATCGTGAGGTCACCTCCCACTGTATGTTTTTGGGCCAGAGTATGAATGCGGATATTGGACCTTCTTCCGTGCGAGGGAACACTCTGGATACTGGGGTGGAGGTAGCGCGCCCTCCACAAGCAGTTGAAGGGAAGCCGCTGAATGTTTGGAACGCGGGTTCGTAGGTTCTTGGTTATGTCATTGCTGTAGCCTGTTGCTGGCTATAAAGAGAGGCAAGCCTGAGGTACTTCTCCTGGCTTCCTTTTGGACATTCCTGTGCCTCGCGAGAAGAAGGCTCCACCGACGAAAGACACGCTTTGTTCTCGCCGCTTGCCGCTTGCCAGGCTGCCCTGTAAGCTGCTCCTCCGGTGAGCACGTTTGTCACACGCCGCCAATGTGTGAGACCTGCAGTGCTGTGAACTACTGCTCCAGCCAGCCGTGTCCCGTTGCCGCTTGGATTTGATATGCGGAGCGCGGGCACACCAGCGGTGGATGCCGGGGTTGACTGGAAGCGATTTTGCCGAGGTGTGCGGCTACGGGCAGCTAGTTTGCAATGACATACCAGGGAACACTGTCCACTGCGCTGACCTGGAAGCAGGGTGCCCAATCAACTGCACAGCCAACGTTGCTTCGAATGCAGCTCAGTGTTTGTGGGATAGTATGGATAGCTTGAAATGCCGTGTGGTGGCAGGGCATGCTTGCAAAAACTAGAGTAATTAGAGATGAGGGATCTCTGCAAGACGTCAGGTGAGAAGAGTGCTCAAACAAATCAGCCGCATCAAATTTGATCGGCCAGGTTATGGAGGACTCAAGCTTACCCAAGCTATGTGACAGGAAATTCGGAGAAGTCGACTCAGACATGGGCACAAGCATCATCTTCCAAAGCATCATGCCATGCCCTTTCCAAGGAATACAACTGCCACTCACCCCCAACCTGCAGCGGTTGTGCGGGCGTGTGCCTGCGACTTGATAACCCTTTCACTTTTTTTTTTAGTCTGGGGCTGCCCCTTGAGTTGAGCGAAAAGTCAAGTAGACAGCCTTGCAGGAACTGGTGCTCCTCAAGCCCCTGCCCTGCGATCTGCAAGGAATCTTAGCTTCAGCGGCTGCTAGGTAACTTTATTTGGTCTTTTGTGTTTGCTTTCGTTTGGTCGCGTGACGCGCATGGCTCCGGCCTCGAAAACCCAAATGAACCAGGAACCGTGAGCAGCTTCTGTTGAAGATTAAAAAAAAGATGAGGTGACAGGGAAAACGGGATGCGGGCGTGGCCCGAGGTGCCCCAGGTCGCTTACACTCTGTTGGTTGTTGAGTTTCCGATGCATTACGGAGCCTCGAGGGTTTCATGCTTAGCTTCAGCACTCTTGTGGTGAGTCTCGCGGCACATGTCCTTCACAAGCCACTTCCCATCAGTTCCCTGCAAACACTAGAGTGCGCCGCCTCTGCCTGGGCTGAGCGGGTCAGCAATGAGCCGTGACAACAGTCACCACCTGAAGGCAAGAACACCCTACCCCATCAATGCCAAGCTGTTGGTTTCACCTTAATACATGACCAAGAGAGGGAATCGCGAAACGAGTTTCAAGAGCCCCTGCTGCAGCGTTGGAGGTACAGATGGGTCAAGACTTTGCCCTACTCGAACTGCCCCATTTCACTCTAATTGTGAAGTTTGACATGTGCAGCTTCCGACGCACATCTGTGGGAGCCGATATGGCCCGGAGCCTTAGCCAGTGGGTTGGAGAAAAGGGTTTGCCCTGGTGCATCTTTTGGCCTTCGGTTGGCGTTTCTTGTGGTAGCGGAGCTCCGAGTCAGGGAGCTAGGTTTGTTGATTGCGCTTTAGGGGTGTTTGTTGGATAGTGCACCTCGGCATTCCCTTAGCTTGAGCCATGGCTGGTAGCCCACGGCAAGCTCCGGTGGTCTGGGAAAAGATCAGTGATGATGAACGCGATGATGAGGTTTCCTCTACAACGACCTGCTGATTGGTGAAGGCGTGGGCGCGCACGCCTGGACCCCTTCAATGGATGGTTCATTGAGGGGACGACGGGCGCAGGGGACGCCTCAGCAATCAGTGCATGCGAGTTACATCGAGCCGGGCGAGGAGGTCTGGTCCGGCAGTGAGTGGTCATGGACATGGACGTCCGAGTCTTGGAGTTCAGATTGGTCGGCTGATCCGTGGAGCCGGCATTTGGACCAACATCGACCCGGATGGCGACGTGATCGGAAACCAGAGAATTGGGATGATCTTTCTCCCAGGCCCCAAGGCCAGAGACAATGGTGGACTAAGCGAGTGGAGGACATTCCACTTCCGCGGCTGCTGGGGCGGCCGCTGTGGAGCGAAGGCGTTCCTGCACGGGAAGCCGATTCCCCTGAAGAACACCGCCCAGGAAGACCACCAGCTCTACGGCTAGATTCTCCTCACCAACCACGACAAGGAAAAGTCGAGCCTCGAGCACGAGAGCCCGATTCCCCGGAAGGACATGACCGAGATGGAGCACGAGCGGGACGGCCAGGAGTAGATCCTGCTAGACCAGGACCAGCAGCTCTACGGCTAGATTCTGCTCACGGACCGGGCCTTAGATAGCCGGAATGTAGATGACAAGGGAGAGACTGGAGCGACTACGGGACAACATCCTCAAGTTGCATAGCTCGTTTCCGCCAGCCTTTCATGCCAAGCCGGGTGAATCGTGGAAGGACTATTGGCGGAGTGTCGAGTTCTGGCTGGCGTCGGAAGGGGCCCATCTTCCACCGAATGTGAGGGCAGCTCGCTTGATGCAACAGCTGAAGGAGAGAGCGGGCAAGATCGTGAACCACCTGTCTGTCGAGGACGTGTCGGGCGAGAACGGAGTGAACCTGATAAAGACGGAGATGGAGAAGTCCCCGATCATCCGGCTCCTGGAGCACAAGGAAGTGGACAGGAAGAGGCAGAAATTCATGCGGCTCTCGAGATACCCGTATGAATCGTTGGAATCCTACATAAATCGCGCCTCGATATATAGGCACGAGAACGACCAGTGCCAGACGTACAAGGTGGGCTCGCGGCTTTACCTTGGACATCTCATGGACGGAGCAAAGTTGAGCCGTAAAGACCAAGCACTTGTGAGAACAACAGCAGGTGGGCTGAATGAAGAAATGAAGGTCGTTAACTCGCTCCTCGAGTTGGCCGACCAATTGGAAGGCCAGAGTGGCTTTCCAATAGGAAGAGGTGAGCCGGAGATGCCCGATGAGGACGAGTACCTTGTGCAGAAGCGAGGGCGCGACCGAGATGGAGGTCATATGCCCCCGTACAAAAGGGATCGGGAGGAACGGCACCGGCGTTCGAACAAGTACCGCAAGTTCAGGCAGGTCTTCCACGCCATACTCGAGGACCAGGACGAGGCGGACTTGATGCCAAGTGAAGCCTTCGGAGAAGAGAGCCAAGGTGCTGATGCGACCTCCTCAGCTTCCGAGTCTACGAGCCAAGCAGGCGAAGAGGAGGACGAGGACTTCATGCCGGCGGAGGTGTACGCCCAGGAGTACAGAGCCAAGAAGAAGATTAACGAACTCAAGCAGATGAGGCAGTTCTTCAAGGGAGGCCACACTGACAAGACCAAGCAGTGGATCAAGGATCAGCAGAAGAAGGAGCCGTGTTTCATATGCCAGAAATTGGGTCATTGGAGTCGAGAATGCCCCGACCGTGCTTCGAAGAAGCCCGTCAAGCCTTCCCACTCGGTGCATGTGACTGCAGGAAATATCCTGCCTGAACCGGGAGAATGGGACTTGCTGGCATCCATGGCGGCGTACAAGAGTGATGAGTGCACCAGGGTTGAGAAGCAAGTGGTTCGAGATTGCTTCGTTGAGAGTGGCCCGCATGTTAATCCTGTGGTAGATCACGAGACGTTCTGGTCCTTGAGGGAGCTTCACAGCAGTCTCATTTTGGACTTGGGTTGCATGAAGTCTGTAGCGGGCACGAAATGGGTGAATCAGCACATTCAGCGGTTGAAGTCCGAGGGTCGCTGGATGAAAGCAGAGAAGGAGAAGGAGAGCTTCCGCTTTGGGGATGGCCATGAGTTGTGGAGCCAGTATGCCTTTATTTTTGAGGCCACTGTCTTGGGGGTTCGAGTCATCGTTCGATTGAGCGTGGTTCCGGGAGAATGTCCCCCTCTGCTTTCCAAGCCAGTTGGGCATGGTCATCGATACCGAACATCATACAGTATCCTCCCGAACGCTAAAGGTCTGTATAATTATGGGCTGGCACAGACGTTTGGAGGTCACTACGCACTACCTATTGCAGAGTTTGATCCTCAGTTGCCTCCTCTACATGACCCTGAAGTTCCCTCACACGTGGAAGCGATCCCAGTGTATGTGTCCGACACATCGGGCAATTCCGAGTCACATGAGAACTTTGAAGTTGCGAAGGGTCAGACAGGTCGATGTGGGGGATCGTCGGGACTGCGAACGTGGACCAGACAGGATAGGAATGTTCCTTGCGCTTTGGGTACAGGGAGAAATGGACCTTTGTGGGAGGCAGTTATCCGTCGTACTGTATATGATCGCAATACGGGAGACAAGCTTCTAGACGAGGAGGTCACCGGGAACACAGTGATAAGACAGCCATTCGGGAGTGTGCGTGACACTGCAACCATACTCATGTACCGCGGCCCTGGCCCGACCTCCAGATTGACTTCGGTGCCCGACCCTATGTGCAAAGGCACAGCAGTCGCTAGCAATTCGCAACATGGCTCCTGCTTACGACCTGACCTCCGAGCAGGATGCAGAGACCCATGTCTCCTCCGACTGGAGCAAAGTGGAGGCGGCAATGGACGAGGCGGACGGCAAGGAGAAGCAGACTCGATTCAGGCCCATCAGAGACCTCCGCGACCGAGAGGAAGTCCAGATCCAAGTCCCAAGACAAGGTGCTGGCCAAGAAACTCAAGGAAAAGGGAGCTCGTCCCAAGTCCCGCCCGAGGCACTCCGAGAAGAAGCGCCCACCTTCGGAGTCAGACGAGCAGATAGACATGGAGTCCAAGCCGAGAGCCCGAAGGATCGCTTGAAGCCTCTCGAGTACTTCGAGGCGAAGCTCGCCTTCCTGGAGGACATGATTGCCAAAAAGAAGAAGACGATCCGGGAGTCCGACAACGAGCAGGAGGTGGAGTATGCCAGGCGTCGAATGAGGGAGTACTCTGCGGATCGGAGTGCTCTCCTAGCCCAGATCGACGAGATCGAGGCGGACCAAAGGAGTTCCACCACCTCAAAGGTGCCGGCCAAGCTGAAGAAGGATGGAGGTGTAAACTCCAAGGACCGGGCTCGATCCTCCAAGGACAAGGCCGAGACATCGGACGAGGAGACCGAGGAGGACAATCCACCACCGAAAGGACGAAAGTCGTCAAGCAACAGGGCCCCATGGAGCCGGAGGCGCAGACGAAGTCGAAGACGAAGAAGTCTTCCAAGACTGCGCCGAAGCAGCTGACGGATGTGGCGGCGCACTACCCCTCCCTCTCCAACAAGTTCTCCGACGACCTAGCGGTCAACATGGCGATAACCTTTCAGTCGATGCTGTTCACTTGGAAGTGGACGGAGATCACCTGGATGCTCAGGATTCGCAAAGCGAGTCGAGACGAGTTCGGATCGAGAGCCAGGTGGAAGCGCAACCCGAGATGGCTCATGGCGCTTTTGGCGAAGCAGATCGCCTTCATGTGGGGGCATCTGGGGTCCCTCCGGCAGACTATGAACAATTCGAAGCACCTGTACCTCATGGGAGGCGAGGTCCCAGTGGAGGATCCGGAGGAGGAGGAGCCAAGACGACGAAGAGGCCGTCGCGAGGCTTGATGCAAAAGCTGCGCTCTGGCGTCGGCACGGCCCTGACGACTATGAGCCTGCTAACTTTGGCCGCTTCATGTACACCATCGTGGTCCGCCATGGAGGTCTTCGCGCGAAAGGGTGACTGGAAGCACCTGGAGCATTGGAAGGTGGAAGGCCCTCGCCGCACTAGCAAAGGTTCTCTGGACATGAGAACCAGTCGGAAATTGCTCGAGACCCGGGACGTGATCATTTTGACGCCTCCGACGGGACCTTGGACTACCTGGTCAGCACGTCCGCCTGCAGCAGACTTGAGAGCCAAGGCAGCATACTATCCGACATGGTGGTTGATTTACAAGTTGTGGGAGCTGCAAAATGAGAAAGGAGGTTTGATCCTTCTGCAGCACCCCGCCAAGATGAGACCGCCTGGACCCGACGACGTGCGCGATCTGCAGAGGATCTATGAGGGGGCCGTGGCCCAGGAGAACTCCCCCGACTGGCTGGATCGAGAATGGGTATATCGAGGGCATGTGGACATGTGTCAAATGGATCTGAAGGACCCCGACACTGGCATGCCCATCAAGCTGGCCAGCGGGATCGAAGTAAATAATCCATACTGGTGCGCATGCCTGGAGGCTGGAGCCAAGTGCAAGCATGCGGGTCAAGCAACCGGTTGAAGGAGCCCTTGCGTCAGGTGAACCTCGTATGGATTTTGTGGCCAGGTGGACCCCAACATGGAGCTCAAGGGTGCTGTTGACAGCACAAGAGGTGCTGGAGAGCAAGCGCCAGAGCAGGAATGAGGTTCCGTTGCATGCGCCGTGCCCTGAAACAGGACAGTGAGAGACCGTCCCGGTGGAGGTGGAGCGGTCGCCGGAGGGGCTGCTGCGCCAGAGATTGGGCGAGGTCACGGGCCAGCGCTTCGACTACATCTACTTCGAGGGAGCGAGTGGATCACTCTCGCGGCAGTTGAGAAGCACGCTGGCCAAGCTACATGTGATGCTGGGGCACGTGACTAACACGAAGCTCAAGAGGATGCTCTACCTCAGCGGCGCCAAGGACCACATACTGAATGCGGTCACGGACCTCAGATGCCAGGTGTGTCAAACGGTGCTGCCGCAGACTCCTGCTCCTAAGGTTTCCTTTGACAAGCCCCAAAGGTTCAACGAACGCATCCTGTCGGACGTGTTCTTCGTGTGGGACTCCGCGGGGGAGAAGTATGCTGTGGCTCATGTCATTGATGCTTTCAGCCTCTACATGATAGCCCGCGAGCGGATTGGATCTCCATGGTCATGAAGCAGCGATGGATCGGAGTGTTTGGACGACCAGATTGCCTGATGACGGATGCTGGCAATGAGTATGTTTCGGAGGTGGAGACCATGGCACGATCGTCATGACATCGTTCCCCCGACGGCAAAGTGGAGGATGGGACTGGCTGAAAGGCACGGGGCGGTCCTAAAGTTGCTAGTCATGAAGACGATTGTGGAGGTGACAGCCAAGGGATACCGTGAAGTTTCGGAATGTGTGCTTTCGGCGGTGGCTGCCAGAAATAGGCAAGTTCGTGTTGGGGGTTTCTCCCCCACCCAGATCGTCCTGGGCAAGGATGTGGCAATCTCCTCCTCCCTCCTGGAGCAGCTCGAGAAAGGCCACTTCAAGTACGTCCTGAATCAGGATTTGAGCTTCGACGAGGCGAGAAGGAGGAGCGAGCAGATTTGCCAAGCGGCTTCTTATGGGCCGATTCGAATGAGACGCTGAGGAAGGCGCTCAACTCGTGTACTTTTGGGACCCTCACCTGGTCGAAAAGGGCTTCCAAAGAGGTTGCAAGACCAGACCTCCTGGACTGGACCGGCTGTGGTGGTGGCACTGGAGCGGCGAGGAGGGGCGGTCAAGCGCGTGTGGGTGAGATACCGCGCAAAGCTTCGAGGAGTGCCGCTGGAATACGTGCGGCTGGCGGCCCTGGAGGAAGTGGGAGAGCAGTAAAGTCTGTGCGGAGGCACTCGAAGAAGTGGAGAAAGAGCTGACGGGTGGCCGGCCCGACGTCGAGGAGATGTTGGACGATGAGCAGGTCCCGGAAGATGAGCCTTTGCTGGAGTTCCCCGACGATGAGATCGAGGAAGACCAGCAGCAGAGCGGTGATGGAGGGGCATCGGCCCTTGATGATCTTCCAGCTCAACTGCGCCGGGAGAAGAGGGACGCCGAGACCAGCGTCAAGCCAACCCCGCCGAAGAAGTTGCGCTTTGAAGAGGCAAAGGAGCAGACTGCTGCTCAAATGAAGCACATGAAAGAAGTTATGAAGAAGTACGAGCCGGGAGCCCCAGGACGGAACGAGCAGCAGGGAGGCGCTACCTCATCGACGGCACCTCCACCGAGCGCACCCACACCTCCTCCACAACAAGCTTCCCACCGAGGGCACGGAGTGTTCCACAGCTCCCGAGAGGTACATGGGCTACTACATGTGCAACGAGTGTACCATCTGCGCAATGCCACCCGGAGCCAGAGGAAGATGCTTCTAGCTGCTAAAAGGAATGGCTGGAGCACGTACGTGGCCGAGGTGCTGGATGTGACGAACGAAGTGGAAGGCGTCGTGAAGGACGAGTCTCATGAGACGCCCAACCCCGCCGAGGATCTCGTCACAGGCAAGCCCAGGCTTGAATTCCGCTGGAAGGACCTGGATGAGGAATGGAGGTCAGCCTTCGAGAATCCTATCAAGAAGGCGGTCGACGTCTACATCGACAACCAGGCCCTGCGACCAGTTCCTCAAGGCCAGCTGGTGCCACCGATGAAGGTGTTACCTTCTCGGTTCGTCTTGACCAACAAGGGCAAAGACACTCTGGAGGAAGCCGAATTGAAAGCAAGGTGGGTCCTTGCCGGACATTTGGATAAGGAAGCTGGCCAATATGCTACCGAGGCACCAACTGCTAACCTCATCTCCCACAACGTGATCTGCTTTCTCAGCGCTCACCTCAAATGGAAGATGAGATATGCGGACATATCGGCAGCCTTTCTTCAGGGCGAGTTCCTGGAGGAGACCAGAGAGGTCTATGTCAAATTCCCGAGGGGATACCCGGACAGTGTGACAGCGCACCTCAGGCAGCGATTGGCAGGCCTGACCAAAGGTACGATCCGAGAAGACCTAGTTCAGCTTGTGAAAGGTGGTTTCGGACTGGCGGAGTCGCCTCGGTTGTGGTACCTGAGACTCCAGCGGGGCCTAGAGAGTCTGGGACTGCTGGCCCCGGGGACCTTCACCTTTCATGTTCGAGGCCACTTCCGTGGGGTGCTGGCGGTTCACGTGGACGACATCCGAATGGCCTTTCACCCGCTGTTTGAGCACCTCCTCGACAAGCTGAAGGACCTGTTCAAGTTCGGCGAATGGCAAGATGCCATGTCCAAGAAGGTCAAGTTTTGTGGCAGGTGGGAGTCACAAGACCCGAAGACGTTCAAGGTGACGGTTACCATGGACGGGTATGCACCCAAGCTTCGGGATCCGCCTCAGCGAGAAAGCCAGGACCGAACTCCACTGACCGATGCGGAACGCAAATGGGTCTCGTCTGTGGGAGGTCAGCTGAACTGGATGGCCTGCCAAGGAAGAGCCGATCTGGCATTTGGCATTTCGAAGGTTCAGCAGATGTCCGGAGCCCGTGATCCAGAAACGATGAAAGCATTGGGCCAGCTCGTACGCAAGGCCAAGGAACCATACGAATATGTCTTTCAGGAGATTGATGGCGAGATCGATAACATGGTTTTCCTTGGTGTCAGCGATGCTTCGCACGGAGCTATGCCGAAGGGGAGATCGCAAGGCGGCCTCATGGTCTTAGTCGCAGACGAGAAGATCCTTGACGGCGAGGCGGTTGTCAATTGTTTGATGTTTCATAGCTCGGTCATAAAACGAGTTGTGAGATCCAGTCTCGCCGCGGAGGTTTCTCAGGCGGCGGAAACAATGGAGCAGACCGACTACGTGCGCGCGATGTTCGCGGAGATGGTCGATCCCGAGTTCTCTCTTTCGGAGTGGCGATGGAGCGCTGGCAAGTGGAGGGAGATCCTGGTCCTCGATTCGAAGACAGGCTACGACGTCCTGAATGGCATTAGCAATGGCGAGGACAAAAGATTGGCCATTGATGTGGCCATCTTGAAGGAGGCGCTCTATGAGCCGGGGAGCAACAAGTGGCTTCGCTGGGTTCCGGGCCTGACCATCCCAGCGGACGGCCTCACCAAGGAGTATGGGAATGCCATGCGCGACCTGGTGCTACGAGGCGGGCCCTGGAGTTTGAAGGACTCGCCGGCTGCGCAGAAACTGCGTGAAGAGGCGGGCCATCGTAAGAGACAGTGTAAACTCCGGTTGAAGGCAAAAGAGTGCCTGGCCGAAGATGTCCGTCTCCAGCTCCAACGGGGGCAGGTGTGAAGTTTGACATGTGCAGCTTCCGACGCACATCTGTGGGAGCCGATATGGCCCGGAGCCTTAGCCAGTGGTTTGGAGAAAAGGGTTTGCCCTGGTGCATCTTTTGGCCTTCGGTTGGCGTTTCTTGTCTAACACTGCTCGAGTTTCATCGAGCTTCGCCGTGTAGTTACATTCCTTCGGTTGCATGACGAAGAGGTGGTGGTCATATTAAAGTATCCCTGGAAGCTGAGAAAGGATGCAAGCGCAAAGGCCTTGAAGACGCAATCACGCAATCCCTTTTGCCGGTTGGATGGTGCAGTGTGCGGTCTTGAGTCACACCTGGCCCAGCTATAACCTGAGCTCTGCGCACAGATCGTCAAGATCCAGGAACCCGGCACAGCACCGCAATGTTGTTACCATGGTGAGGACGACCAAATATCCTGCCCAGCGCTGAATGGAAGCCATTGCGTGCTTCAGAAGCAACTACCCCTTGTTTGTGTCGAGGAGATGAGCAAGTTTTGAACAACTCTTGTACATTCTTTCCGGGAAGGACTGGGCAGATCTGTCCAAGGTCCCTTTCCAGCTTGGCTGTCCGGCCAACTGCCCGGAGCAGGAATACTCCTGCCATAGCCCCGGCCGCGTGACTGGAGAGGTCGCTTGGAACAACAGTCGATATATCCATCCCATGCGTGCAGGGTCGCCCCATCCCAGACTGATTGCTTGGTGGCAGTGACAGTCTGACAGTCTGACACGAATTCGGCATCGAATGCATGCGCTTTCCAGATTGGCTTTCTTCCGCATACTGTCCCAATTTTGCTCAGTCAGCAGCTGGTGCTACTCGCGCTGATAGTGTGATACTCAAACTTCCTACTCCGTGCAGCTGGGACCCTTTACTGATCCCGAAGATGCAAACTTCTCATGCTGCACCTGGGGTAAGGGTTGATGATGTCGTCATCAGGAAGACGTGGGTCAGAGAGCTTTTTTGGAACTGATCTGCACAGGCCAAGAAAGGCGGCATGTTTAACATTTCCTTGCCTGCAAGTCTGGTCTGAGGCCGGCCTGAATTGGTGTGGCTTGGACATGTTAGGCTTTCAAGTGCTTCTTTGTTGACGGAACCATCTGCGGCTATCTCTGGAAAGGGGCGGTACTAGATGTATGGATTATGCAGTATGATATGAAGCGAATGAACTGGTGACAAAACCGAGGTTCCAGTGCCCCGTGCGCGCCAGTCTGCAACGTTTCTGAAGTGGCATGCGCATTGAAAGACGGCAGCGAGGCGACTGGGTGGACACTGCTCTTTTTTTTGTTGCGGCACTTGTAATTCCCTCTTAGCTACAGAGTTTCAGGGCGATACAGACACTGCTAATTCGAAGGGGGTGCAGCCGGGTCTGCGAAGTTTGGGCTAGGTCGCAGCAAACTTGGCCTCTGAGGTTTGCGTTGGGAGAGCATCTCAGCTGCGTTTGGTCACACCACTGAATCAGCTGCTAGCATGCCCCTAAGCACAGCAGCCAGAAGCACCCTCTGGCTTCAGAACCCTCATGGCCAAGGAAACAGGCTGCCCCGTCAGCTGTGGCAAGCACGAGTTACTGGGCCGCAGTTCATCGCCCGATGCCTCAGTTCATGGCAATTTTATCCAAAAGCTTTCTGCAAACTGCAAGGCATTCATGCCACGCCCGGCCAAAATGCGAAAACTGCACCGGCATCAATTGGTGCTCCAAAGCCCCATGGCCAGAAAACGGTCTGTGCGCGCAGGTTCAGAAACAAGGACGCTGAATCAGGCTACAGCTCCTGTTGGGCAGCTTTCCACTGTTGCGTGTATTGATGTGCGAGCTCAGGATCCGTGCCCCGAGATGTGCTCTGCACACGAGATTTCCTGCTCAAGGCACTTGCTGCGGTCGCTGTGGGCCGCACCTTGAGTGCTGCTTGAACAGTCGTGTCTCTTGACCTTACTTACAGTCCTCAGAGATCCTCAGTCAGCAGCAGCCATTAGAAAGAATAGTCAAAACCCAGTTGGTCGAAGCCTGAAACAACTGCAGGAGTAACAGCAGCAATGGCAGCAACTTCTGCGTAGATCGCAGAGATGGATGCCCGGTAAACTGCTCCAAGAAGGAGCTGCGCACTTTCCTTCAGCGCTTTGAGAGTACAACAAGTTGTAGGAATGCACATAGTTTCAGTCGCAAGGGTCAAATCTGAGGCCGTCAAATCTTGACTTTGGCAAAGCCACCGGAAGATTATCTTGCCATCATCTTGGTGCACTGTACAACGTTGAGGCAGGGAGTAAACTGAATGGTGAGAGATGCTGAGAGAAGGAGCAAGCCTGCCATTGGAAGCCGCACCCTCCACTGCAGCAAGGGCTGAATTGGTGCTCGCAGCATCTTGGCTGGCAAAGTTCAAGCCAAAGCCTGCCGAAAGCCTGCCGTAAGACCTGTGCATGACAGCTTACGCATGCTTACGCTGCAACCTCGGCATAGCTTCAGCCAACCGAACTCTAAGCCTGGTCCGGGTTTCTGCCTAGACATAGGGGCCTTGTGGAGCATCTTGAAGGAAAAAATGTCCGCAAATTTGCGGTGAGAAGGAACTGGCTTGTGTGGAGGAGCAGGGATTGTGATCAACCATGTAGCGGTGAATGCAGCCTCCTCATAGAGCCGGGTGACTAGCACCATCGGAAAAATAGCTTGGGTTTTTGGTTTTGCAGATCATCAGGCCCGTCGGCTATTGGCCCCATTACGCAAAAAGTGTGGTCCAACTTTGCCTGGCACGCCTAAATACCTGGTATAGTGCTGGAAGTAGCAGAGGTGCTGCGGTCTTTATATCTCTTGCGTCTGCATTCGGCATGTGCACCCCAGATACAACAAAAAGCCTTCCTGCGGCCAGGGGTCTGCAAGAAAACTTTTTGCCATTGCAAGGATTGCTGGGTTTGGGTTGAAGCTCCCGTTGCTGCTCAACTTGGGTAATCCCCTCCTCGTAAGAATCACCACCCCCCAAAAAAACAACAATGAACACCCCAATACTGCACCATTATGCGGCAGTTCATTATTTCCTACAATCTATCATAATATATCATATTACACTGAACTAACCTGCTATAAGATATTAATCTATAATGTATTCTAATATACTATAGTATACTCTAGTATATGGTAGTATATTATGATGTACGATAATATACTATAATCTGTATTATATTTTAATATACTATTATTAGCTACTTGTAGCAGTGACTTGTGCAAGGAGGAAGGGAGCGGCAGATGTGTACCACGAGCTCCCTCAGTTGCATTGGGCATTGGGGTTGTAGGAACAAATAGTTCATATATAATAGAGTACATACTATATCGCAGTATATTAGAATGTATTATAACTATAACATATTATATTATAATATTCTATAATATCGTTTCCATTTACTTTCCCATCCCCCTATATACCCCTATCTCTATAGCCACTTGAAGGATGGTGGTACACGGGGGTGGGCTTGATCTTCTCGGGGTCATTGGACGTTGCCTGCGTACCAAGTTTTGTGGGTACAAGGAGGAAGCCTCTTTCAGATGGACCTTCAGATGGAGATTTCCGCAAGGAACTATCGTTCTGCAATTTCATGCAATTTCTGAGGCTGACGGTTGTCCAGTCAAGTGCAAGAAGAAGGAACATCAATGCCATGCGCCACCTACGAGCGATGCAGCCAGCATGCAGCCAGGGATTGCCAGAAGTTTCGCTTTCAGGAAATGGCACGGTGATGGCCACATAATATTCCCTGATGAGCAATCATGTGCTTTCGGATTCAACAGATGACGAGTTTCAAGTTTGTGAGTCAGTACTGCTTCTTCTCCAGCCCTAGAACCAGGACTTACTTGTACTGTACCTAGCACCCGGCACTCTTCCCTTCCGCACCTGCCTGTCAGGACGGGACAGGGCTGAACTGGTGCTCTGAAGTACCGTGCCCAGTGAACTGCAGCAAGGGCGAAGTGGCCTGTTTGGCCGCAGACCAGCAGGCAGGATGCGGACAAACCAGAACAACTAGTTTGCTGTCAAGCCAGACCTCTGCTGCCCTGAGGTGTACACGTGCCACAAACGAAACGAGGGCTGCCCTGCTCATTGCAAAAAGTCGGAGAAAGCAGCTTGGCTTGTTCCCAGGGTCGATGGCCGCTTGCATGAGGGGAGCGCACAGGATCCAAAAGCAAGCCAAGGTGTGCCACAGCCCGCCTAAGGAGGCCTGCGAAGATTGCGTAGCAGCACCAAAGCTGCAAATACGCTGCAATGCAACCCCTGGAGGCCTGTTGAGGCGTGCTGTCACTTGCACAAGAAGCGCTGTTACTACAGTGTTGCTGTATCCAACAAATGATCTATCAACATCTGCCAGCATTCCAGCGGTAGTTGCCATGGTGGGCCGCTGCCAAGAAGTGTCAGTTGCATTCCACCTGTGAAGTATCCTGAGGTGAACTGGTGCTCTGAGGAGAAGTGTCCAGATGCCTGCGCGGCAGACGAGATCACGTGTCCGCGTCAAGAGGGCCGAGGACCCAGGTTTAGTGCAGATTGGAAGGAGGAGTAGTGGCTAGAAGGATGCCTGCACGTGAGGTTCTGGAAGTTGAGGCTTGCGCATTAAGTTTGCACCTCACGTGCCAAAGTCTGAAGCTTTCGTACAAGTGGTGTTGAGGTAGCGGCATTCTCTGCCAGCCCTTGGCAAAGGGCTGCCCGGCGCACTGCAAAGCTTCGCAGCATACCTGTCACGCTCCTCCTTCCTGCAAAGGCGGGGGAAATGCCCCATCATGCCAGCGTTGAAGTATTCGCTATGCATGGGCTTTATTTATCTTTATTTAATGCGCCGGTGGATTTCGCTAAAGCAGGTGCCCTTCAGGTGGCTGCTAGTTGTTTGTGCAGCTTGTGCGGGGAAGCGCCAGCCACTACCTGTACGTCTCAGAAAACTTTCTGCAGCTGGGCCTAGATGAGAAATGCCAAGGGCAGGCAGGACTGATACGTCAAAGGTAATCCGGTCGCGTGCTATGCCAGGCTGCATGGGCACGAACTGGTGTTCCCACAAGCCTTGCCCGCTCGTCTGCGCTTCATCGGCTCTTTG